GAAATATTTTCATGTATATACTGTATATAGATTTATATATAAATATTTTATATATAAATTATATTTTTTTCTTAAATATACATGCATGTGTGTGTATTTATATATATATATACAAAATAATTATACACAGTGGACCCACATATATTATGTAAAAAGAAAAAAATATTTTGGATGTGATTAATTATTTGACAGCCCTAAAAAAATTTTTTTTAGTATTGGTTCAGGCACCGTTTAGGCACCGGTACCGTTTTAAAAGTATTGATTTGGGACCAGCATCGAAAAAAACCCAAACGATAGTGACAACTGATTATTTTGGTCACTATAAAGGTGATATGAAATCGCATTTTGCAGCAGTTTCAGGTATTTCTGTAGTTTAAGGAGTTCTTGTGCGTTTCCTCAGGGTCCACGTCCTGCTCTGTTCGTGCCTGAGGTGTCGTTTGAGCTGCTGGTGAAGAGGCAGGTGAAGCGTCTGGAGGAGCCCAGTCTGCGCTGTGTGGAGCTGGTGCATGAGGAGATGCAGAGGATCATTCAGCACTGTAGCAACTACAGCACTCAGGTAGACTGCAGACATAGGAGACGTGACAGCTTTTGGCCTTCATACTCATCCTTATCTTTGCCTGTTGCATCATGTCTTGCTCCCCAAAGGAAAAAAGAAAGACAGTTTCCACTGTTGTTATACAGCACATCAGTTAAAGTCACCATGAAATCAAAATGGACAATTCCTGTTTTATTATGAAATATTGCAGTATTTATGATAAATGATTTATCCGTGTACATCATTTTTTAAAGTCATGTGCCCTCGTAATCTTTAATTAAAAATAACCTCCCCTCCCACTTGCAGCGACATCTCTTCTCTGATGACTTGTTTACTGGCAAGAGGGTGGGACAACCTGTCACTCACATGAGATCGACCAATAGCAAAACAACCATCCAATCAAGTCAAAATCAAGTCCCGTCCTACATTTTTCTCATTCAAAAAGCAGTTTCACTTGAAATATGTTACAATAGGAAGAAAAGACTATCGGAACTTCTGTTTAAAGCAGACTTTAAGGCTTGTTCACACCAAGAATAAGTTAACATCACAATTATAAATACAATGACAGGGGAACATTATCACTTTTAGAGCATTTTTTTTTTTTCCAGCTGATGAAAAATAAAAAACATTTAATTCTAACCAGTATCCACCCGACTAAAGAGCTTGAGGATTTAAAGTGGCAGTTGACAAAATAATTTTTTTTTACTGTTTTTTAAATTTTGTATTATTATTATTAGTAGTAGTAATAGTAGTAATTATACTGTTGTTTTATTATCAGCATTTCAGCATCAGCATTTTTCAATTTGTTTGGGATTTGTTTTATTTAGTTATACTGTGGTTATTGTTATTATTATTATTAATTATTATCTTCTATATACTAATTGTTATCTTCTCATTTTTGCCAGGAGTTGCTTAGGTTTCCAAAGCTCCATGATGCCATAGTAGAAGTGGTCACCTCTCTGCTCAGGAAGAGGCTTCCAGTCACCAATGAGATGGTTTGTTTGTTTTCACTCATGCTCTTATTCTTTTACATATTATGGACCAGCAGTTTATGTGCAAGTATTTCTTCTCTAAAGCTGCGTTTGCTCTACTCCAGGTTCACAATCTTGTGGCGATTGAGTTGGCTTACATCAACACAAAACACCCAGACTTTGCAGATGCTTGTGGGGTCATGAACAACAACATTGAGGTTTAATGACATTTTTATGATAATTTAAATTAGATTTATGATTGGAAAATATTTGAGTGTGAAATTAATATTTGTTGTCTTCGTAAACAGGAGCAGAGACGTAACCGAATGAGAGAGGTTCCCTCAGCGGTGCCTCGTGATAAGGTATGATGTTAAATCTTGAGCGATCAGTGAACTGCGTTTTCTCACTGGAAAATGCAACGGGCTGCTGTTTGCAATGTTCTTTTATCCCTTTTCCTCTCTGGAAATTAGTTTGTTCCATAAACCAAGTCTTGCTGCCTTTTCTTGCAGTTTTGATTCGAATCGGACTCAAATCTGCTGCTTTCCTCTCTAGCTGACTAGTCTCTTCTCTTCCTGTGTCTTTTTTTAGTCCTTAAAAGGTCCTGGTGGGCAGTCAGTGTCGCCCACCGAGCAGCCGTCTGCTGAGGGTGATGGGCCTAAGGTGTGTGGCGCCCCCTGTGTAGGGGCAAAGCATGGAGTTGATTTTCAACCCACTCGATCTGCTCCCCCTGACCTTTAACCCCGACTGCATGGTCACCAACCACTAAACTGACGGCAGTTTTGGTTTTACTGATCAGAACCTTCTCAAACTTCTGCTGTGATTTTTAAGAGCCTCACCAGTATTTTTTCAGTTTGTAGCCAAAATCGGTGTTTTATATGTGAACAAAGCTTTTGTTCAGTTCCAAGCCTAAAACCAATACATAAAACACCGATGCACTGCATGGGAGAATGCATAAAACACTAGTTGGTGCTCAATCCTGTCTTGTTCTTCCTGTTTATGTGGATTAGATGGCCGGAGGAGCTCAGGGGGAGCAGGAAGGAGGAACAGGGACCTGGAGGGGCATGTTGAAGAAGGGAGAGGAAAGCCAGGGCGAAGACAGGCACAAACAACAGAGCTCTGTCCCCGCCAGCCCTCAGAGAGGACACGCAGTGAACCTGCTTGATGTAGTGAGTCCATAAAACACATACTTTTGATTATGCTACAGAAATGACTTAAAAGCTTGCAGTCTGAAAGTAAATAAACACCTGTAAGTATTTGTGGTCTCTTTGAGAGCTGTTTGCTAACACGGTCACAATGAATTAGTGTTGATTTGTTCTGATCTCTCGCAGCCTGTGCCAGTTGCTCGGAAACTGTCTGCTCGCGAACAGAGGGACTGCGAGGTCATCGAGAGGCTCATCAAGTCTTATTTTCTCATTGTCCGTAAAAACATCCAGGACAGGTATGTAGAAACCGCATTTAACCTCTACAAGAGACTATGGAGGAACCATGAATATGAGTTTCTAGTTTCATGTTTCAAGCAGAATACTCACTCTGTTTCTCCGTCTCTGCAGTGTACCAAAGGCTGTGATGCACTTCCTGGTGAACCATGTGAAGGACAGCTTACAAAGCGAGCTGGTGGGACAGCTGTATAAACCCGCCCTGCTGGACGACCTTCTCACGGAGTCAGAGGACATGGCCCAGCGCCGCAATGAGGCCGCAGATATGCTGAAGGTAACGTCAATCTTTTGTATATAATAACTATTATTGTTATTATTTATATAATTAATAATAATGTATATTCATGTCAAAATGTTTAGCAATGCCGAGTAGCCTTTACATTCACATTTATTCATTATTATTAAATAGTAAATAATATTATTACATAATTTATTAATAATAATAATTATTATTATTATATATTAGTAATAATGAATATTAATGCAAATGTTTAGCAATGCTGAGTAGCCTTTACATTCATATTAATTATTATTAAATAGTAAATAATATTATTACATAATGTATTAATAATTATTATTATAATATATTAGCAATAATTAATATTAATGTAAAATGTTTAGATATGCAGAGTAGCATTTACAATAATATTGTTATTAATTTAATAATAGTACTAATAATTTATTATTTCATATTTCATAATAATAGTAATAAGTAATATATCATTTGTAATAGTAATGTATATTAATGTAAATCTTTTAGTAATGATGAGTAGCCTTTACATTAATATTAATTGTTATTAGTAGTAGTAATAATAATATATTAAGAAGTATTTGATTATATATATATATATATTCATTGTATATTAATGTTAAAATGTTTATGAATGCAGAGTAGGTTTTATATTAAAATGAATTAATTAATTTATCGTTTCTAAAGTAATTTATTTCATTTTATTAATTTATTTTTGCTATTATTCAATTAATAACTATTCATATTGTTGTAGAGGCTAATCTGAATTACTTAGCATTTAATTAAACTTTGAATTATACATGATTTTAAAAATGTTGTATTGTATTTTATCATTAAAAAGAAAAAATAGAAAAAGAAAATTTCAAATGTTTTCAAACTGTCATCCTCTCCTCTGCCCATAGGCCTTGCAGAGAGCGAGTCAGGTGATCGCAGAGATCCGTGAAACGCACCTGTGGTGAAGTCCTGCGCTGATGTACAGCCCCTTTCCCTCCTGCTCAAACCCTGCGGTCTGCGTCAGCCCTGTCTTGCTTTCACAGACAGCGAACTTGAAAAATGCACTGGTGTCAGTTAGTGTGTATTGAATATAGTTTTATGTTTGCAACGGACTCTTCTCAAACTACATCGAGGGCAGCACATATCATGTCACACCTGCACACCGTCCCAGCAGTGATCTCTTTCATGTATGTAAACTACCATGTACGCTGCAGGTAACGTGTGCGGCCTGTTAAAGGACCATGTGTCCCTGATGTAGCCTAAATTAAAGGTAGTGATATAAACCGATCAAAGGGTTTGTCTTTATGTTGTAGCTTCATTTGGTATGATTGGATTTCTTAAAAATACTTTTTTGCTGTCCAATAAGGCAGTCAACATGGGATTACATTGGAAAGATCCAGGATCACACTACTCGTTTCTTTTGTGTAAATGTGAAGCATTACTGAGTGCACCTTTAATTTCATAGCATAATTTGTTATTTTATTTTCATTGTTGGTCATATAAAATAATAGTCAAACTTTGAGATTTATGTAGTTTGATGCAATGTTGGTGTTTATGTGCATGATTGTCATACATAACAGTTCATTTTATGCTGCACTGCAACTTCATATATTATAATATATTATATTTATTATACATTTTTAATCAAATGTTGCAGCTATTTATTTTGTCTTTACAGATAATATAATTTATTAATATAATTGACATCACTTATTGAGTACACTAAAATGAACAGTCAGCAATATAGCATTTATTCATGGCAAAATGCAGAGCAAAAATGTACAGCCAAGGCTTTTTTGTATGTTCAGAACAATGTCTTTTAAATATCACCATCAATCAAACAAACAAAAAACGAATGCACGAGGACACAAAATCCTCTCATATCAGCTGTCAACATCTATCTCAGCCTTCCTCCCATTTTGCCTTTGCCGCGTCCCTTGGCACTAAGAGATAGAAAAGCAAGAGTTTAAAAATAATTTTTGGATATAAAACCGAATGACTCAACACTTCTAGCAGTTAGTGAGATGTGAAGCTTGTGATTCTTACCTCTGGTGATCCTGGACGCGGCAAATGAGCTGATTTATCTGTGAGAGACAGAAACATGACAAGTGCTAACAGGATACAGTGATAATGAACACAACCTATTTAACGTTACCTCAGTCCAAGTTCCAGCCGTTGAAAGTGAATGGATTTTGTGAAACTGTTAATTGCTGCAAAACCTCAAAAACAACCTTACAGAAGCGCCATAAAGCCCCACAAGCAATTTCAAAGTAAGTAAAAGAAGTTTAGATATCACTTACATCATATTTCTGGCGTTTCAGTTTTTCATTGAGATCGTATTTTTCTGCTTCCAGGTCCATCAGCCACTGCCACAACTCATTGGCTTTGTCCCTGCAACGATTGACAGAAATATTAAGGTGGGTTCACACAGAAAGCGTTTTGTTTTAGGTCCAATGTGATGTTTTTTTAGCACCTTGTTTCCGTTGAGGATCGAAAAAACTCGTTCCAAGATAAGTTCTTTCAAATCCTTCGCTCTTTAAACGAAAGAACGCGTTGAGAACAGGAAATATTTTAATATATAGTATAGGCTATTTGATAGTGATTGTGTAGTTTCTGCTGTAACTAGTTCCAACGCATCCCAAGTTCATTCCCATTCCTTGCGTTTTTAAACGCAAGAACGCGTTCATTGCGAACGGCCAGTCGGCCACTACATCTAAGGCTAAATATTTTTTCTTTAATGGTGATTTGATTCTGGCTGCGTAGTTTATGTAGTAATAGTAAATAGTTGGGGGGGGAAACGCATCTTAATGTAATCCATTCCTTGGCTTGCGTTCAGTGCGAACGGTAGGCTAACGTTAGGCCTACTATTTTTTAGGGTCTAAGAAATTCTAAATTATTCTCATTCTAGTTCTAAATAATGAACTATTTCCTGCAGGCCTGTTTCCTGGTCTGTCCTTAACAACAACAAAAGAAAAATACTGTTAGAAATGATTAAAAAGTTGGACATATCAATCACTTGGTGTGTTGTTTTTTTATTATTAAAGTATTATTGTATAGTAGTATATCATACTTGAGTTTGTCGTCACTCAGGTGGTCAATATTCAGTGGTTTTCGGCGGTCGGCAAGGATCTTCTTCTTTTTCTCCCTTTCGGTTTGTTTCTTGGCACCTTTGCGTCCTTCACCCTTTAGTTCAGCGATAATTATAATATTAGTGAAAGAATCTGCATAAAATAATCATGTAACTTGACAATATTCTGACAATATTTATTTACAGCCTTAAATATGGTGAACACTGACCCTTTGCTGTACGCCACCGTACTGCTGGGTCATGTTGGTGAGAGCTTTCTTCTTCTTGGCATCGTCATCATGCTTCTTTCTGTGCTCTTCCTGCTCCTTCCTCTCTCTCTCTTCCTGTGAACAGTTTAGATTGTAGATTGGTTTCATCTCTGTTAGGAGCCTGTGGTTCATTGTTTTACTTCACTGACTGGACCAATTCATTTGGTTTTGTAGAAATGATTCAACAGCAGATTAGTTTGACAATAATAGGGTGGATTTTGCTAACATCCTCCACAAAGGTAATTCAAAAGTATAAATTCAAGACTTCAAGTTTAGTCTCATTGGTGGAAAGATGTTCCAGTATGCAGCTGGTGTAGTTTGGACAGCACAGGGGTTTTCAAACTGGGGTCCGGGGACAGTATTTGAAAATATATATATATAACTGCCTTTTTACGATTTTTATGATCATATTTGCATAAAGCACTGGTTTGGCAGGTGTTTATGCAGAATTTGACAGTAACTCACAGCGAGTCTGGCCTGACGCTCTTTCTCTTTCTCTGCTCTTTCTCGCTGCTGCTCGGCCCTCTCTGCTCGCCTCTTCTCCTGTTAAAACACATATTTACATAATTCTGCTCAGAAGTTCCTCTTGCAGGATCTGTGAGGTGTTTATCCAGTTAATGTAGTTCTGCCTCTTTTTTGATATACATGTTTAATAAAAAATAAAAACAACATTCATGAGGAAACACTCACGATTCTGTTGACCAGAGAAATGAGTTCCTCTTCATCTTTCTGTCTCTGGAGGAAATGAGCCTCTATAAGAGACTGTAGTTCTGTTAAATCCTTCTCCTGACGCTTTTTTTGGATGTCCTACACACACACACACACACACATAGGGAGAGAGAGAATGATATAGATTTTAGAGTTTGAAAGTGAGAGGTGCGTTTAAAGGGAGTGTAACAGAGAGGCAAATGTCCTACTTACATCAAAATCGACTTTATCTCCCTCTGGGATCTTTGGTGCTTGGATATTTGATAGATATCTGAAGATAAAAGATTAAGACATTAAAAAAAACAGTTTCATCTGGATATATAATGATGCATACAAGAGAATAATGGAACTTACTTTGGTTTGGATTTTGTTTCGTCCACTATAATTGGAGACATATGTTTTTAACAGCAATTGAATAGAACAGTTACAATAAACAATTAAAAATAATTATTATAATATAAGCATTGTCAATTTTTTAAACTTTGCTCAGATTTAACAAATAGTATCGCTTTTATTTACAATATGAATTTACTATTTGTAATTATACTTGGTGTAAACAATATTTAACAATGTTAATGTAGGTAAATAGCCACTTGCATTGTAATAAATAAATACATTTTGGAGTTATATATATTATATATGTATTATATAGACATTGTGACACAATACCTTCCTCCCTTTTATCAAATTAGATAAAAAAAACACACAAACACACAGACAAAAAGATTTATAAGTGAAAATACAATGCACATGGAATTAATTGCAAGATTGATCACTTTTTTATCATAACAAATCATAATATTTGCAGAATTAAAACTGTTACTCACTGAACCCCCTCATCCATCACATCTTCTGTGTCAGACATGACTATACACAATGTCAAAGATAACATGCAGCATTTATTACCGGTAAGCAACAAACATTTTTATATGCAATACAAAATGCCAAAATACATCATGCTCATTATTCCTATATAAGGGATGGGGGTTTGGAGAATATGCTGAATATTCTGATTCATCTTGAAACTCTTACCTGGGTTGTTTCTCGATCTCAGAGATGGAGCAGCTCTCTTTTAGAGTGTGTTAGAGCATCGGCCCTCAGTCTCAAGGCTAACATACTAACCCACCACGTGACCACATTGTCCTCTCATTGGCTTGTGCTGAAAGCCTTCTTCTATTGTTAGACTGTCAGATGCATTTCTGTCAAGTTCTAAAACCAAACATTCTCTTCGACCTGCTCATAGTCGGCCTTGTTTTGTCACCCCGTGAAATTCAATCCATTCAGAGAAAGGAGCAGACGGCTTGTCTCAAATGACAATGAGTGCAGAACAGAAAAGACACAGAGGCAATGTGTGCATGTATCGTTACTTTACTGTGTAGGCTTGCTTGATAATACAATAATTGTACAGTTGTTGTGATCATCACTGACCGTTTGAACTGTTAAAGTAGGACATATTTAAAAATGTTTATTGATATTTTGAAATAGTTCAGCTATATTACTTCCCAAATACTTTATAATGCTATATTTGTAAGATTTTTATTACTAGTATCTTAAGGGGCGGTCACACTACACTTTTCGTTCCATTGACTTCCATTCATGTGTCAGGCCTCAAACGCAAGCTTATGCGAAAAGTTTAGCATTTTGCTGCGTTCCAAAGTTCAAGTTTGGTGAACTCTGACCTTCGAATTCGCATTACATGAAGACACGTGGCCAGTAGAAGATTGATACGTCACAGTGTGACCTCTTGTCTGAATTAAAAGAATGCATATGTATAAAGTAGTCAAGTAGAATGTACATTTTTACATTTTGAATGTAGGCCTATTACTATTTGTTATGTTTAATTCATGGTTATAAAAAGATATTTTTTTGAAAAGTCTAATGTGACCGCGGCTTTATCAGATGTGTAGTGTTCATTCATAGCATGACTTTGAGACTCCAAGTGCAAAGCATATGAATAAAAATCATACAGGCAAAAGCAGCATCAGCAAAGCACAATCAAACACCAAAACCACAACATGTTTCAAAGCATTAAATCATGAGTGTAAATTCAACAGGTCATCTGAAACTCCAGAGGGAAGTTGAGAAGTTCAAAAAGATTTTTCTGTTGTATTTTTATTATTATATTTTTTAATCAGGGATAAAAAGGCTAAATGTTCCTAAAGGTGCGGTCACATTTACTGATGATTTTTTTCCGGGCTAAATCCAGTAATTTTAATTGGAATCAAATAGTAATTTCACCACGGCGATTTCGCAACAGGTTCCGTTTCGAATTTGCCGTGTTGTCCAACACACAGAAAGCAGCTTAAAAGTGACTTTTGTTTGAGCGGTGCTCCATACGTTGCTACACTATTAAAAATAGACTATTTTCTCACAAAATTGTCGCTAATGTGACCGCATCTATTAGTTCTAATGGTTACTTAGCTGTTTATATAGTTAAATGTTTATATAGTTCATATGCGCAAATGAGATTTTTGTTAAATTTGTTTTCATCTTATAGCATTGTGAACAGCAGGAAAAAATAACCATATAAGCATGCATTAGTATAGCAAAATAAATAGGCTTATCAATGTTTAAAAGGGAGTTGAAAACACTTTCCACTTAAACACTTGCGTCCAATCAAACTCTACAGTGTTTTAGCGTAAATGCACCTGTCACTTGTTAATGTTTGATAGTAATACTAATACTTTAATATGTGTTATTGGGCCTGTGTGATTTATGGTAACTGTAATCAATTTAAAAGTTCGATTTTAAAGAAATTTTTGTATGATTTATATTTTGTACTGTGTTTGGTTGCCACTTGTTGTAAAATCTGTGTTTTGAAGTTGCAAAATTATCCACATATTATGGAAGCGTCTTCCATTTTGGCTGATCTGGGGGTTGTTCGGATGTCCTTATTTTCTTGTTCCTGTAGAACATAAGGGAATATGTTGTTAATGTGCGAATGAGTTCGCAAAGAGACAATACAAGACAGTTACATTTGCTCTACATACTGTACGTCATGTGTATAACTCAGAAGGCTTTTTCAACACATCCTCAAATACACGAAAGCAAATAGACCAGCCATCCGCACCTGTTCCCAGTTAGTGAGTTAACACGTTGGGGCCGTGACCCAGACGGAAATGCACAAGTGACATTGTCATGGGTGTCTCAAGTTGTGCCACAAGTGGGACAAATATCTAGTACATTGTCATCTATGTGACTCTCAAGGACAAGTTCAGCTGAAAGACCAGGGAGGATTGCTGCCACTAGCTTCTTTGTGAACTTCTTCGCTAGTATCTTTGAATGAATAATAATAAACCACAAAAGCCGGATCCCTGTCAGAATATGCGCTAGATGTGGGTGTTAAGGCGGGTAATGTGACAATGTGATACTTTCATCCCTTCTGTAACTCCAAATATTAAACTGCTTTGCCGTGGGACATCATGCTAATCCAGTGATTCACGTCTCTATGCAGTGGCACAACCGAACAGCTGCGGCAGGGAATGCGATGCGTTATGATGCTACACGAGAGGTGCTGGGTGAAATGAACACACTGGAATTATGACGCCTGACACGCCAGCGGTTCGTGGAGTACCAATGCAGGAGAACAAGGTCGGTGCTTTAAATATAGCGTGGCATGATATGTGAACGAGAGATTTACAATAGCACTAGCCAGTTAAAGTTATGACTTCAGACATTTGCTGTCACCGCGCCGCTGTCAGTTAAAACACCCCCCCACCCGTTTTTTTGGGACCCCGTTTGATTTTCATTGTATTGACAAAAACTGTTAAAACATTCTTCATAATATCTCAAAGTCTTTTGTACGTACAGTATATGAGGGTGAGTAAGTGATGACAGAATTTTCATTTTTAGATGAACGACCACTTTAACAAATGTAATTTTTTTTTTTAAAATTGACATTTGGAACTGAATGAGAAATAAAAAATAAAAAACTACAGTCACTCACCATTTGTGACGAATTTACTTTTGGCTGCGAACACCTGGGGAAAAAAAGCAAAAAGTCTTGAATGAATGAATGAGGCATTTATATAGCGCTTTCATATGTACTACTGTACACCCAAAGCGCTTTACAATCATATCTCAACCACCACCACCATTAAAGCAACGTCTTGCTTTAGGTATTTTAAACCTAAAACAAGGGATGCACTAATATAAAAAATGTGGCCTAAAGCGATTACCGATATTTATTTTATATTTGAAAGCCGATAACTGATATATTGGCCGATAAATATAAAAACAATTTTTTTATATAATTTGTGAGAGCCTGATTACAAAAACAAAAGTCTCACCATTAAAAGCCATGTCCTAAGCGCTTCAACATTAAATCAAACAAATACAGTACAGTAGCCAAGTTGAAGTTTTAAAATTAACTTTACACTACTATGGCCAATTTTCCTTATATATATATATATATATAAATCTATTGCCATACACATAAGTAAAATAATGCCACCGGGTCATTGGATAACATACTTGCGAATAAAGACTAAAAATTCATATGGATAAAATAAAATAATCCATTATTTATCGGCTTTAAGATATCAGACAAATTTTCTTATTGGACCGATTACAGTAACATAAAAAATTAATATATATCGACCGATACCGATATGGTGGCCAATATATATTGTGCATCCCTTATTCGTACGATGTGAAACATGAAAATGTACGATTTAAAAAAAAAAGTTTATCACGAAGGCCCAGCCCTAAACATTAACTTTACTTGGCCATAAGCAGATCCTACAAATGAGATTGTACAAATTCATAGTAATTAGACCCTATTTCACCAAAATGTAAAATAGTTACAAATTGCCATGAGAATGTGTTTGGTGAATGTGTGAAAAAATATTACAAGAGCAACTGTTAATAACATTTGGGGGGAAATTAAAAATGAGAACATAAGCAAGCATTAGCAAGCAAGCATCTTAATCTGACAGAATATTTTAGTTACAATGCCTGAGAAAGGGACAATATAAAATCAAGTCATATGCAGTATAAAATGAACCACTGAGATAAAAGGTCTTTTTGGAAACATGGCCATCACTTGAATTCATGAGGGCTGAGACAAATCTTTCACATATATTCAGCTACCTAAATACTTGCTAGTTAATTGTAAAGTTGGTAGGTGAGACAATAATTTGTGTGAAGTGAATAATTATTCATAATAATAACAGGTATCAGACACCACTTTGGTACTTCCTGTTATACCTCACAATCTGTCAATGTCTTTTCTGGGCTGGTGAATGGAAATAATCTGCAAATGAAATAACTGACTTTGATGGATTGAACACGTTATTATATTTCAACCCACTCAGCTAACCTTGGCAGGTGTGGAGCCCTTTGGGACACGTGGTTTAGTGACATCAGCTGGCTTCTGGTCCTGTCAAAACACAAAATTACAAACCATCCTCCATTAGATTTTCATATATAAAAAAATATTCCATGAACAACCTATGTTTCCTGTATTAAAGCTTACCTTTTTAGAGGGGGGATTGAATAGAATCAGAGGAAAAACAGCAGACAGCAGTGTGACAGAAAAGTGAAAAAGAGAAGAAAAGGCCACAGCTAGAGGAGCGGGAAGAAGATAGAGATAAAGTAAATATAGCACAATACTATAAAAAAAATACTGAGGGTGGGCCAGATGGTAAAACCATATAGAATTATTACCATATATGTACTACAGTATTTACAGTATCTCAAAAGTGAGTACACCCCTCACATTTGATTTCAGCAAACATTTTAGTATATCTACTTAAGGGACAATACTAGAAATGAAACTTGGATGTATTTTAGAGTAGTCATTGTGCTGCTTGTATAGCAGTATATATTTACTGTCCTCTGAAAATAACTCAACATACAGCCATTATTGTCAAAATAGCTGGCAACAAAAGTAAGTAAGTGAACATGTCAAAAATGTCCAAAGTGTCAATATTTTGTGTGAGCACCATTGTTATCTAGCACTGCCTTAATCCTCCTGGGCATGGAGTTCACCAGAGCTGCACAGGTTGTTGCTGGGATCCTCTTCCACTCCTCCATAATGACATCACGGAGCTGCTGGATGTTAGACACATGACGCCTCTCCACCTTCCGCTTGAGGACGCCCCACAGGTGCTCAATAGGGTTCAGGTCTGGAGACATACTTGGCCACTCCATCACCTTCAGCTTCAGCTTCCTCAGCAAGGCAGTTGTCATCTTGGCGTTGTGTGTTTGGGGTCGTTATCATGTCGTTCGGCCCAGTTTCTGAAGGGAGGGCATCATGTTCTGCTTCAGAATGTCACAGTACATGTTGAAATCCATGTTTTCCTCAATGAAGCGCAGCTCCCCAGTACCAGCAGCACTCATGCAGCCCCAAACCTTGATGCTCCCACCACCATGCTCGACTTTAGGCAGACATAATTTTCTTGGTACTCCTCATCAGGGCATCGCCACACATTCTGGACACCATCTGAGCCAAACAAGTTTATCTTAGTCTCATCAGGGCACAGGACATGGTTCCAGTAATTCATGCTCTTAGACAGGTTGCTTTCAGCAAACTTTTTGCGGGCTTTCTTGTTAGCCAGCTTCAGAAGAGGCTTCCTTCTGGGACGACGGCCATGCAAACCGACTTGTTGCAGTGTGCGGCGTATGGTCTGAGCACTGACAAGCTGACCTTCCGCTTCTGCAACCTCTAAAGCAATGCTGGCAGCACTCATGCGTCTGTTTTTTTTAAGCCAGCTTCTGCACCTGACGCACAGCACGAGGACTCAACTTCTTAGATTGACCCCCGCGAGGCCTGTTACGAGTGAAACCCGTCTTGGAAAACCTCTGTATGACCCTGGCCTGTACTGTAAGTCAGTTTCAGGGTTTTACCAATCTTCTTATAGCCTAGGCCATCTTTGTGGAGAGCAACAATTCTAATTCTCAAATCCTTAGAGAGTTATTTGCCATGAGGAGCCATGTTGAACATCCAGTGGTCAGTATGAGAGAATTTTACTCAAAGCACAATTTTTAACTGCTCTAATACAAGATACAACAATTTGTATGGTCCTGTCAAGCAGACAAAAACATGAAAATGATGAATAGGACATGTGGCTTTGCATGGTTAAACGACGTACAGCTATTATCACTTAGGGTGTACTCACTTTTGTTGCCAGCTATTTTGACAATAATGGCTGTATGTTGAGTTATTTTTAGAGGACAGCAAATATATACTGCTATACAAGCAGCACAATGACTACTCTAAAATACATCCAAGTTTAATTTCTATAGTATTGTCCCTTAAGTAGATATACTAAAATGTGAGGGGTGTACTCACTTTTGTGAGATACTGTACATATTCCAAGGTACTTCGATGAATACAATGGTACTATTGTGTTACATACCTAAAATGCCCAAGGTACATCCTGTGGTACTCAACTAATTAATCAAATAAAAAAATAAAATAAATTATATAATATATATTTCAGTAAGTAAGTACAATTTATTTTTACAGCATGCTTAAACAGCAAAACCTATTAAACAGTAAAAATTATACACAATATAATATAAAATGCATGACATACATAATGCAGAATAAATTGGAACAAATAACTTAATCCCTTAGACTTCAGTTGAATACTTGTGTGGCAAGATGGAGCCCAAATTTAAGTATATTACATTACAATGACCAAGTCACATAGGAGAGGGTAGAAATGTGCATACAATCATATACATATCTATAATGTGTGTGTGTGTTTACCTGTGTGTGCTTGAGTTAAGAATTTGCGTTCTATTTATTCCCCTTTTTTATTTATTAAATTTATGTTTTCTGTTTCTTGTATTTGCTGCCTTGTTAAATATTTTTGATGTATATAGAATATGCTTTTTCTAATAAAGAAAAAGTAGAAAAAAAGAAAACATTTTATTTGAAAAAATGTGATTGCTGTAATTCTAAACCAGAATCAGATGGTCAAATGCAATACACTAAAGACTCACTGGAGGGCCACCCTGTACCATACAGAACATAAGAGAGTTTACTTACACAACCTGTGTGAAACTGTTCCAGTGAAAGTTTTGCATTCTATGATTTCTTAGAAAATGTAGATATATAAATTCTAATGTTAAATTATGTAAACCTAATGTTCTACCGTAAAAGATGTCTTGAATATCGGGGGGACCGAATGTTTTTTTTTTCTGTTATTGGTCTTTTTAAAATAATTTTAAAACAACCATAAAGATTTCACTAATAAATAAAAAAAGCTGAAATAAAATTTAAATTGTTGCCTTGGCATCTAACTGAAATAAGTTTAAATCGAAGTACTAAAAAAAAAAAAAAAAAACTGAAACTGGTATAAAAATTAATTCAACATATAGAATTATTATAGAAATTATAAAATGACAAAAGCACATCACAAAAACTTTTACATTTTTAAACTAAATTTAAAAATATAAGCTTTTTAAAAAATACTATTAGATAGATAGATAGATAGATAGATAGATAGATAGATAGATAGATAGATAGATAGATAGATAGATAGATAGATAGATAGATAGAAAGATAGATGATAAAACCAAGACTCACTGTTTTGGCAGGTGGTTTTTCTGGTTCAGGGGCTGGTTTCGGTTCAGTGGGCTTCGGCTCTGGAGTCTTGGTTTTCCAGCTGTTAATGCGCCCAGCCACGCCGATGTTCAGACCAGCTGTTTCCTGATCGGACAGTTAGCAGATTTTATACTTCTCTTTTCAGACAAAGTAATCCTGCTGTATCGGCTTCTTTCAGCAGTCATGTACTAAAACAGCTTCTCTCCTCTTGTACCTTGGTGACCGCTGGGGGGCTTGCAGGACTCGGGGTGGGATTGACCACATTCCCCTTCTCCCACATACTCTTGATGCTCCGCAGCCCTTCAGCCACAGGTACGTCCACAGGAGATTTGGGTGATCTGGACAACTCTTTGGTCTGGTGAACAGATAAAGAGTCTCATACTGAGTCATAAGCGAGAGATGGCCACTCTAGTGTTCACTATTCCTCACCTGAACAGCAGAAGTGTACTGCTCCAGTCTGTTTCCAATCTTGCAAACTAATGGAGTGTGTGAAGTTTTCACCGGACTGGTTATATATAAAAAAAATAAAAAAATAAACTGTGTATATCCCAGACCCCAGTATGTGGTCAACTGTTGAAAAACCGCATACTAAAAAATGACTTCTTACCTTTTTAAAGCAGATTTGTTAAGAAATTCAGCTTTCTCACCAATCTGTCAAATATACAAATACAGTATAAAGTGTATCACATTAAACGCATTACTATAGTCCCATATCCCCCAAAAAACATAGTAATCATATTGTGCTTTTTTGTAAGTGACACTAGAATAGGTCAGAGAGCCACTGACTTTTGCAGAGGCGCTCTTTGGAGCGATGAAGGGTGCTTTGCTCCCTTCTTTCGACTCCTCCTTCTGTTTTTTTTTCTCGGCTGCCTCTGCTCGCCTTCGCTCAATCTCTTCCTTCATCTTCCTCCTCTCTTCCTGTTCATTTTAGTGGAGAGAAGACGACAAGGGCCGCATTATAATAATCACAAAAAAGTGCATGATGGGCTCTTCACACAGAACATGTTTTTGTATTCCATTGCGCTACCTTTACATTGTCGAATGGCCCCTTAAGTCTAAAGTATACTTCAGTTTTATGCGTACGCTATTGTCCACATGATGCATATTTCATCATCAGCATAGTAAGCACATACTGTACTTGTGCAGCCATCGCACGTCCTGATTTTTCAGTTAGACGTGTTCCTGGATCAACCTATCCTGGAATAACATTCCTCTCTGAAAATTTAGTCCTAACCATATCCCTTCCCCTAAACCTAACCCTACCCAAGGTACTACCTCCTAAAATCAGAGGCAAACGATAGGTGAAAAAAATGTAGAAGCACCTAATAGGCCTACCCTAGTTGTGAGCCTAAACTTGACATAAACTGTACACTTCACTTGTCCCTCAAATCTGATTGGTTGATTAGAATGTTGTTCCAGGATCAACAAAGATTATTATCCAGGAACATGTTGCACTTGGTGAAATCAGGTTCTGTGCAGCCATCACATAAATTTTTTTGTGCAGTAATTAGTTTGTTCACAAGATGGCAACACTGGCCTGACCCGCTTTTTCACAGGCGAAAAACCCCCCAGATGAGATCGACAACAAACTACTGGAGATGGCAACAACAATAGATGCCCACGTTAAGCGCTTGTGTGACGATAACAACTCATTTTATCAGTAATAACTTGTAGAGATACAGGACAGGGATGAAACTTTCTAGTGCACGTGTCGAGCGCCTGTGTTCGCAGACACTATCAAATAGATACTCGAAGTCCCTTTAAAGCAGATCATTTCACTCGGCGGCCATCTTTGAAACGCCTCTCTGGCAGCTGTTTCATTCATGCAATTACAGCTCATATCTATTTGAATGGGGAAACATCAAATTCTCCAAAGCTGTTCACCAACCTGACGATTATATTTCGTCTTTGAAACCACCAATGAAATCTGACAACAATTGTCTCATAAATTTTGTATCTAAACGCTCCAATCATGACAAAAAACAGCATTTTTCAGGCAGGACCAGCCAATGCGCATGTGCAGTCCTAAGCGTACGTCTCAGAACACGGACTGTTTCTAGGAGCTTCCAAAGGCAGATGCAGAGACGTAATGGCTTTACCAATTAGTTCTTGGCATTTCTATTTAGAAGGCGGGACTTATTGCACCATATTGTCCTATTCATATAATATGAGTGCACTGTCTTTGTATATCTAAAGTCTTTGGTATACTTTTTGAAAGGCTATGTGTTCGACAGTGCACAATACACTAAAAACCGGAGTATACTTTGGGCTTTAGTCTTAGATTTTAATTCTTGCACATTTGATTGATTCCAATTTATACACTATTTTTTACCAGATAGCATGCCAGAATAGGACTAGCATTCCAAATATTTTTTTACTTTTTAAATCAAGAATTTGTACGTGTTTTAGGCTAAAAAATCTTGAGAAATCTACCCAAAATCTTTTGCACTATACGTCAGGTTATGCATTAGTATCAAGTTAACTAAATACTGCTATACTGTCTGAATATTTACTTTAAAAGTACATACTTTCCCACCAGCAGCACAGTACTTTTAGTAAGCAGAATTAGTATGCAAATTAGCATTCAGCCATACTTTATCCTTGACAGGTAGAAGAAAAAAAAATCTACCTCCTCTTTGGCTTTCTTTTCTGCCAGCTGCTGTTTCTTCTGCTTCTCCTCCTCCTCCAGAATCTTCTTCCTCTCCTCCCTCTTCTTCTTCAGCTCTTCCAGTTCCGCCTCGGCCACTTGCTGCTTCTGCTTCATCTTCTCCAGCACCTCGCTTTCCGTCTCGTTCCGCCGGCGCTTCAGCTCCTGCAGCTTGCGTTCTGCTTCCAGCTTGGCGATGGGATCCTGCTTCTCTGTTTCAGGAGAACGCAAGCTGGTTGGACTAAAATGTGAAGAAAAAATGGCTTTTTACTCATTGTGGCTCTCCAAAAACAAAAGTGCAAATAGAATCAATTGTGAAATGACAAATTAATCTGTCTGTGCCTTAGTGTCTTCTCTGGTTTCTTGGCTTTGGCGGTGCTTTCAGCTGCATCTTGTGGCTTTGTTGACACTTTTAGCTTTGAATGGAGAAACAGTAAATGAGCTTTATTATTTTATTCTCAGGTTGAGCTGTCCTTCTGTCAAACACAAACGTCCTGGTAGAGTTGTGATGCTATTTGCACCATTCACTTACTTTGTCACGCAAAAAGGAAGGTTTTGGCTTTTCCTCCACAAACTAAAGAGACAAAAACAAGCACCTTAATTTCTCTCATTGAACAAGGGATTTTTCTAACATAGCAATCAGTGGGTATTGCATGGAGAGTAGTTGACCACACTGCATGCAAATTACACAGCAAAAACAGAGCAACACAAGGCAGTCTTGACACAAATATTGCATTTTCAGAACTGCATATACAGTTGTGGTCAGAATTATTGGCACCCCTAGTAAATATGATCAAAGCTGGCTTTAACACTAAATCTGCATTGTTTATCCTTTTAATCTTTCATTAAAAAAAATCGCCAAATCTAACCTTTCATTAAGGTAAAAGAATTGTAAGTGGGGGGAAATCACATTATGAAATAAATGCTTTGATCATATTTACCAGGGATGCCAATAATTATGACCACAACTGTACATGTATAAAAGTGATATGTGATCATAAATGGGTAAATCTTATGAAAACATGTCCAGGTGACATTTCACCACAAAATCAAAAGGAAAATTAATAAATGATATTTTGCATGAAGAAAATTAAGCTTATTTTTTAGGACTAATAAGTGTTTTTTTTTTTGTTTTTTTTATTGTGACACCCCCAGTGTAATTCCCAATATTCTCATAGGTAATTCTCATTAGATTATTATTACTGTAATACATAAATTTTTTAGTGTATTACAGAACAAAAGTTGTGTAAAACAATGATAAACCAGCATTAATTAAATACAACAAATACAACTATGATTTAATTATATACATATATTTTGTGTTATATATTATACACTACCGTTCAAAAGTTTGGGGTCAGTGAGAATTTTATTTTTATTTTTTGGAGGAAAGAAATCAATACTTAATTTGATCGAAAGTGACAGTAAAGACATTTATAATGTTACAAAAGATTCTATTTCAAACAAATGCTGTTCTTTTGAACTTCCTATTCATCAAAGAATCCTAAAAAAAAAAAAAAAACTGTACAACTGACAGACCAACAACTGTTTCAACATTGATAATAATAATAAATGTTTCTTGAGCATCAAATCCTCATATTATACTGATTTGTGAAGGATCATTTGACACTGAAGACACTGACACTGGTGATGCTGAAAATTCAGCTTTGATCACAGAAATAAATTACACTTTATATATTCACACAGAAAACAGCTGATTTACACTGGAATAATATTTAATACTATAACTGATTTTTGTTGTATTTTTAATCAAATAAGCACAGCCATGGTTAGCAGAAGAGAATTCTTTTAAAAGTATTTAAAATCGTACCGACCCCAAACTTTTGAACGGTAGTGTATATCTTACAATTTAAATCAAAAACATTTCGCATTAAGGGAATGAAACATCCTTTAGGGGGTGAAATGACCTGAACATGTTCTTCACAGGTTTCATGAGATTCACGCTGTGTCCATTCAGTCAAACGGAAATGCACATTAAAAGCGTGAGCTGTGCATACTTCTGTGATTTCTATGCATCACTCAGGGTAAGAGGCGAATACCTCCTCCTTTTTTGATTTGACTTTTTCTTCAAGTTTGGCCTTTGTTTCTTCAGCCTCTTTCTTCCATTTAGGCTTTTCCTCAACCTCTTTCTTTGGAGTCACAGGTTTCTCCTCAACCTTCTTCTTTGGTGTTGATGGTTTTTCTTCAACCTCCATCTTCCGTTGTGGTTTCTCCTCTTCTTTCTTTGGGGTTTTGGCCTTCACTTCAACTTCCCTGAATGATTTTTTTGGTGTTTCTTCAACAGCTACATGGGGTTTCTCTTGCTCTTTCATAGGTTTCTCAGCCGCCTCCTTCTCTGGAGCTTTATCTTGAATTCGAACCTTCACCTCCACAAGTTTTTCTTCAGGTTCCTCTACATGTTCTTCAGGTTCCTCTACATGTTCTTCAGGTTCCTCTACATGTTCATCAGGTTCCTCTACATGTTCTACTTTCGTTACCAGCTTTTCTTTCTCAACCTCTGGTGTAGCTGCCGGGTCCACTATGACTTCCACCTCTATTTTGTCATCTTTTGCTGGTTCTTTTCTTGATATCAGACTTTCAGATTCTACATTTTTCTTTTCTAAATCTGCACTTGCTAAATCTACTTTGGTTTGTTCTTTAGTCTCTATATTTTCACTAACAGATTCTTCCTAAAAATATAACACACCATTTAAAATAATTTCAGACAAATAAATCAATTCAAAGGCATTCACCAATTTTTTTTGTTATAAACTCAACTTTTAAGAACCTCATACCTCATTTGGCACCGCTGGTTCTTTGGGTTTCTCCTCCATGGATTCCTGTAACAAATGAAGTGTCAGAATAAACGAATAATGCAGAAACCACATGAAATGCCTCGCTAATGTACTGAACCTTCATCATAAGTTGGAATGACAGCAAAAAATGTTGAGGAAATTACCTGTTCTCTGAGGTAGGACCTCTGTGGTCTGTCTTCCTCTTCTGGTTTGTCTATCTTCTCAGAAGATTCTTTAGGTTCGTCTGCTGCTGTAAATGACATTGGATCCTCCTTTGCTGCGATTGTCTCCTCAACCTCCACGTTGCTTTCCTCTATCTTTTCCTCCTCTTTTATTTCTTCCTTTTCCTCCTCTTTTATCTCTTCATTTTCTTTCCAGGAATTGGTTTTCATTGAGGAAATGTCATTTTGGGAGGACTCTAGTTTGTCGTTTCTACGACTTGGCTCGTCCTCTGTGGCGGTGGTGACAGTTTCATCCGTGATGGTGGGATCAAGTTCCTTCTGTCTCTCCAAAGCTTCCTTCATCCTTTTCTGTCTCCGCTCCTCTCTCTTGGCGATCTTCTCTAAGAGAGCCTGATCATCATCCTCAGCTGGAGCAGAACTAGAGATCAATGAGGACGTCTCTGTACTGAAAACAACACCATTATCAGTGTAGCCAAGTGCTTTTATGAGTTATACAAATATTTTAGATTTTATATCATGCTTTAGTTAAGTTTATAATTAGGTTTTTACATTACATTATTTTAAATAAAATAAAAATACACTATTTTAAATAAAAACATTTGATGTAAAGAAACTTTATAAACAATCAATTTATATTTGTCTACAAATGTGTTTTTAAGCATTTAAGCATACAACTTAGTGAAAAGCTTTTCATTTTGAAAAGTTGTAATTTTTTTTTTATGTAGTACGGAGCTCTGCACATGACATGCAGACAAAAATATGTACCGGTATATGTCATATTAACCAATTTTGTAAATCGTGGCCATGTTATACTTGTTTGTAAAACGAGGGAACAAATTCTTAATTTGTAGCCACGATTTAACTAAAACAAGGGAACGAATGAATAAAATGAGGAAATGAATTCTCAATTCATGGCCACAATATTTACATACATATTTTTTTCCAGCATTTCATGTGTAGTGCTTTGTACATTTTTAACAAAATGTATGAAAAAGATGCTTTTGGATGGATCTACCTGTTTGTTTCTGTTGCTGTGTTACTCAACTCCTCATTCTCCATATTGCGCAGGCGTTCCTGACGGGCTCGTCTCCGACGCTCCCGGGCCACTTCCTCATCATCATCATGAGAGTTCATCCTGTAGAGGCGGTGGGACACAGACATGAGTTAAGACTCTCATTCTTCCGTATGAATGCAGACAGACAATACTGACAGATTTATGAATGCTTCTTGGCTCAGCACTGAAAGACCATGTGAGAAATAAACATCACCCCGAAGAGTCAATAATGATAATACAACCAAATGTAAGCTTAAATCTACAGAGTCTACTAAAAAATATGATCCGGTTTTTAAGCTAAAAGAGTAGAAATTCATTTTTGAGTCATATGTGCATAAAAATGTATTATTATTATTATTAAATTATTTAAATTTAATAATTAAAATATAAAATATTCTTTAAATTAAAATATATTATTTAAATGTATTATTATTTTATTTATTTATTTAAAACATTAAAACATTGATCATGCTAAGTGTGGTTGTTTATCTATAATATTTTATATTACTGAAAAAAATATGTAAAATATTTTTTTTAAGTAAAAAGTATAATTTAAGGTAAAAATCTATATTATCCTCATCGAGACATATGTACTTTTACAATAAAGTACTGTTTGTAAATACAAAATGTGAGGTATTTTATAATTTATTATTTAAAAAAAAACTGTAGAAAAATGTTCCCAGAAGTCCCTATAATGGAAAGGCCACTTGTAACTTTTCATTTATTATATGGCTTCCGTCCTCTAGCATCCTCTAAATGTTCTATATTATAATCATATACAGCATTAAAATGGTATAACCACGTTACATATCAAAAAACACGGCATTGCAATGCCAATACAAATACCTTTCTTTCTTTTTTAAGACCCGAGATTCATATAAACAGTTTCTTGTGTTTATTTATGTTTGGTTTACCAGCTTGCTTAAGATACCGGTCAGACCCGAAAACCTCAACTATAATGAAATCTTTGAGGCATGGGAGTATACAGAGAGAGGTTTGGACTGCAATCTGAGGGGAAAGCTTTGTTAGCATCCTAGCGTCATGGTAAATTAGCCAGATTGTAAACTTAGATGCCAAATGTGCTTTTCCCCCTTAGAGTTGCCTCATTGTCGGTCTCAGATGTTGCACCCACAATGTTGTGCTCAAATTCTCCCTCTTGCTGCTGAAGTTGAGCGAGTCCGGCCTGGCTTGAGTTTGTCATGGCATGTTGGTGTTTATAAGGCAGTGAGAGCACTTGAAATGACCAATTGATGGAGGATGGGTTTTATTTTTTTCCCCCATCTCCTCTTCACTTCCCTTCCCAATCATTTGCAGATGTTGTAGATGATAGAGAGAAACCCATAACAGGGACCGCAATTTTGTTTCTCAGACCTAAAAGCGGAAATCCGAAACAATCCGGTCCTCTCAGGGAGTTCCATTTGTAAAAGGTCATCCAAAAAGACAGTCAGATGGAGTATCTGTGGTTTTCTTGGAGGAATACATGTCTTTTGTAAGAAGTGTTTCTGGATGAATACAATAGCTTTCAGACCTCCAGTGCTACAGATGAAATGCAATGAGAGATGGAGGGAGAAAGCTCACACTCCTGAGAGATACTGAAACATTATGTCTGAATCTTGGAATAAAAGCAGCAGTCAAAACATTCCAAAGTCTGTGGAGTTTCCTATACCTGCTGCAGAGAGACTCGGCACAGTGACAACCCTTTAAAAGATAACCTGGGCTGCGTTTCCCAACAGCATCGCAAACCTAAGGGGATCGTAGGCTTCTACAAAAATACATGGCTGTGCTTGTTTCATGTCTTTCATTTCACAGAATATTTCATGTTCATTTATTATAATGTACAGTCAATCTGTCATAAATTCCTCCTGGGCGATAAAAGATGCCTCTGCTTAATAACAGGATATCATACCACAATATATTCAAATTATGAATATTATACTGTAAAGAAATTCATAGTTTTAAAGGTAAAATAATGTAAAAATTGTATAAAATAAAAATAAAAAAATATTCAATTTAACAGGACATTTATTTTTATAATTAATAGTATTTCAATATTAGTTTAAAATAATTTAATCTTTTTTAAATAGAAAAAATATATATAATTTACAGTGAAAATCTATATTACATTCAACAAGACAATACTTGTTCATTTACAATACAATATTGTTAACATTAAGTAATTTGTAAGTACAAAATACAAGTAATTTTAAAATGTACTATGAAAAAACAGTATAAGAATTCCTTTCAATACTATCGAATGGCCACTCATGATAACCAATAATTCATTTTGTGACCTTCACCTTCACCATCCTATAAATATGCACTGAAACGATAGTTTGAAATCATTTTTGGACGCTGCCATTGTGGCACAAAATGAATGTAGAATGAATCCATATAATTCCCTTGCTGAATACTGTAAATAAATTAGAGGCCACACACCATTTCTTTGACAGTTTAGTTCATACTCGGATGTTTGAAAATTAAATTGGACAGAATTATGATGGCATTGTTCTCTGAAGTGGTAATATTGAAAGAGCAAACACTCTCAGAAAAATATGCTGATACATCTGGTGAGTTGTTTAATCAAGCACAAGGGATTTAGTGGCGATGCCATGATCACTTCCTTTGACAGAAATATGCGGGTTCTCTCCGTTGCTGTTTTGAACTGGAAACCATGACAGGCGGCTGGGATTTGGGGGAGTTTGGATTCTTTAGCATCAATAATTTTCATAGAGAATATTTCTTTTCCAGATATGATTCCAATAAAGTTTGTTTTCTCCACTACAAAGCCAGTGGATGTGGTAGAAATGCCTTGAGGTTTCTTTCTTGAGACTCATCCATCTCAATAAAGTTTTTCTCTGGGTCATTCCAGCACATATGCACTGTACAGCTTCTGAGACCAGACTGAAATATGACATTGTGCAGCAGAAGTGAAGGATTATGCAGAAGAGAAATATATCGCTCACTCAGAGTTTAACATGCACACAAAAAAAGCAGAAAGTGTCAGAATTCATCATTTCTCTAGAAGATGAAAGGCTTTTATTAAGGCGTGGTGGATTTGGCTTGCGGGTATCACCTGGATTTGAAAGTGATTTCTATTAAAAGTTTGATTTCCTTTTTAGATCGGATTGTTGCCACAATGAAGCTTAAAAGTGATTTTTTTTTAATTTATGTGTAATTTTCAGTCTATTTTCTCATAGTTTAATGTGCTGAGACCACAGGGTCAAAGACAAATAAGAGCATCTATGATCATGAAAAGAAAAGATCTTTTAAAACATGCGCATGATCTTTAATGCGTTTCTCATTTAACACAATAATGACTTTAGATAATTTCTTTGGGGATAATTTCTAAGCCGAATTTAATATGTGATTAATTTGCGATTAATTCGATTATTTAATCTGCACATCATGCAATTAATTTGATTATTTATATATATATAATATATATATATATATATATTAGGGCATATATGGAATTACCCAAAAAAGATCATTTAAACTAAAATCATTATTGTGTTAAATGAAACACATCAAATTGAAAGTAGCTTTAGAAAGAAATATATATAATAAAATATTTTTTAAATTCTTTCAAAATTCTTCAAGTTCAAAGACTTCTATTATTTTAATGAGACTCTTTATTCATTATGATATCAGGACAGTTGTGATTTTTAACTTTTTGCCATCAAAAAAAAAATATCCAAATGAATTTTAAGAAATTAAAAACATGCTTATCATAGAAGTGTCAGTCTTTCAATATGAAATGTATTTTTCATGCATTTCTAATTAATTAAAATAAATCATAAGAGTCCCTTCTTTAACCAGAGAGTCTTATCCTCCTTTATCTGAATATATATCACAAAGACTTTTGTATAAAAGAAAAAAACCTCGCTGTAAACACTGTAATCTTCTAGACCTTAAATATTGCAATTGCAGAAACGGAAAACATGGAAAGTGTAAGACTAACAGTGTATGTTATCATTAGAGCATCTTCTTGCAGCCTTGCCACAGACACCGTCCATTAACCTCAATACCTTCCACAATTACACAAACAATACAAAACTGTTCATCTGCATTCCAAGCTATGCTAAAATATGATCATTGTCATCAATATGTCATCTGTTCTCTGGAATGAGTATTACCCCTCACAAAGAGCAGTAAAGTATCTGTCATCTCCAGATCAGTCCTTAAATGGAGCTCTGGACAGTGGGAGTTATAGAGGGATGGAGAAACTGCAGCTCTCAGTCTATGAGTGGGCCAAGTCATCGTGAACTATAAACACTCTGAGCAAACCTGGCCTGCCAAACCCACAGCGCACATTACCCATGCTAATACAAACTTTTGTTGTATTTCAAGAATTAATATGAAGGGAATAAAGGTTTGCAGGCCTTAAATGACCATTTTAAATGTCCATACTTTTCATATTACACAAGAACGTTGATGTTCGCTGCTGGAAAGGACTTTAAGCGGTTCTTTAAATAAAGACGGATTTCCACAGAAGGCTTGCGTAAAAACAGACACGCATAAATAAATCTAATCTGGTTTATACAAACCCAGTGTAAACTAAACACAGAATAATTGTCATTTATTGTGTACAAAAGACCTGTAATGGAATAGCATGCTATTTCTCTTTTCTTTATAATGACAAACATTTCTCCCTTAGTGAGCTACTAAAAGCAACATGAAATCATAAGTAAAATCTTAGACAGATAAGTAGGTCAATTTTTACAAAATGCACAGGTCACCATTCGCAAATAGAAAAATATTTAAACAAACATTTTTTATTCTACATTTTATTATAAAAAATAATATTTCCCATAAAGAGAATTAAGCCTGTTTATGACAATTTTAAGATTTTTTTTTTTGCTTTGTACAATTATTTTCTTGTTACATTAAGCACATTAAGCTTGACATTTTTTTAGTTCCATTATTGTTAAAGGTGATTTTTATTGGAAAACTACAACAAGGTCCCATAACTAAAAACTAATGTAAACAAATGAACCTTATTGTAAAGTGTTACCAAAATTACTATAACAAATGTATTTTTATTAAAATCATCATAAATTAGGCAGTACAAAGCAAACTAAAACAATTTAAATAATAGCATAATATCATTACTTTTTCATTACAACAAGGATAATCAGGAAAAAAATATGCTTTATTTTCTTAAATATAATTTCTAATTTCTTTATCTTAGGTTTTGCGGTAAAACTTTGAGGTTTCAACTAACTAGTGCGCATCTCATCTGCCAGTCAAACCATTCTGTGTCCGAAAGAAACCATCACACTCTTAAAAATATATACCCAATGAGCGTCTGTCTAAAATCAGATATTATCCGGATTTACTCTACCGCCCCGTCAACTGTAACAAAGCACCGTAAACGTAGGAAGACATTTACAAGCATGTCAACCTTTATAAGGAATAGAGGCGAGCAGAGGCTCTGTTGTTTGGACCACGCAGACACAGGCCTCTCCAACTTGGCCAGAGTATTACAGACAGCACTCCTGTGGCTTAAAATAGTATTCAGTTCATCATCGGGATGACAGTGATCTGAATTTTATTGAATCATCTAAAAATGATGATTGATAGTGAAATCGACTGACAGCAAATTCAATGTTTTAAAAAAAAATGAGGTAAAGGCAGTGTGTAAATGAACCCATGTAACTTACTTCTCTGCCTCCCGCTGCATTTCTTCTCGCTTCTGTCTCCGTATCTCTCTGCGACGCTCGAAATCGAAGTCCTCGTCCATGATGATTCTCACAGAGCTCTTTAGGTGCAAGCTGCAAGAGAGGAAGACAGTCAGACAGTGTGGGATTTATAAAGATCTGAACTGTCCTGATCACTCTAATTCAAAGTCAAGACGCTCCCTGTCAGCTGTTTGGCTTATAACTCACCAGGACCAACCACAACATTCCAGTTTCTTGATTCAATTTCCCTGGAACAACTACCAGGAAAGGCAAACTTTGCCACACATTCAACTAAGCCACTAATCCTCTTTACTAATGGAAATAATATTTTAAAAAATTGTATCTTCTTTCTATTTTCTCACCTTTCTCCATACAATGTACTTATCATTTAGGTTGCACTTTATTTTATAGTATGTGCACTTATGTGTACCTACAGTGTACTTGCCTAAGAAAGTACTTAACATAAGGTAACATGGGTTAAAGTTAGGTTTAAGGGTTCAGGTTTAATAGTTATTACCCAGTCATTGCAATTACTATAATTAGAACATGGTATGTACATGCAGTACACAGGACTGTAAAATAAAGTGCATCTGCCACTTTTGAGAGAATTTCATTAAAATAAATCATGCTTTTATGTTTTCTGATTGTATGTCCAACACATTGCTAAACAGCTGCTCAACAGAGCTAAGGAAATAACACATTTCAGTTAAACAGTGCACATTCGCTTACATTCGCTGAAATAATGAAAACTGATAAAGACAAAGACAAAAATCATATTGTGCATGAAGGGTAGAGTATTTTTACAAAAGAAGAGTTTCCTGAACAGCAATCTGCCAAGACCCAAGTGCCTTCACCAATTTAAACAAAACAAAAAACATACATTTTTGGTATAATATATAATAACTTGGTAATTCAGTGTTTAACTAGCAGCTCCAAACAGAATTTGTGGAAGTTTGGGGTGCATATCTAATAGGCTGCAATTTTAAATTGCATTTGAAAAAAATGTCTGTTTGCTAATTTCTTGTCTTTGTCGTTTGTGAATGCTTTTCTTCATAGAGTTGAAAAATTCCATTGGACAATTCACTTGTAGGGGGAACTGTACCATTCAAAGTATAGTAGACTGTCATTGGACAGTATATGCATCCATTTAAAAAAAAATGTTTTTTTTAAAATAATTTTATTGTTATCCATTTATTTAATTGCATCTTAAAACATGACAATAACTGATTCCTTCACTTTATTTGTAAGTGTCACTCCTACTCCTAGTTTTCCATAGTGTTGAAGCCATTGAATTGGTTGGTCAGACAGCACTTCAACATCCTAGACGGGGAACCTGCTTGGATAATTCTGTTAAGGATTTTATAGTCGTCTCTCTAAAAGACACCGGTCTCCATTTTATATTATAATATCTTTGCATCGATGTGGGAACAATTAGTTTGGTGGTGTGACAAAGCCTGTTCTGTGTTCTTCTCTCCATATCACATGTGTGGAGTGCTGGGCTAGACAGCAGGCTAGAGGTGAGTGGACTTGTTGGACGGCTGCTTCCACCAGAGCTGCAGGCGTGTTTGGTTTGGCTTTCCTCCAGAGGCGGAGGAACAAGGCTCTTGCACCAGTCCAAAGAGTCTCCATATGTGCATAAACTGAAAAAGTCCTATAATAGTGACCTCATGTGAAGGCTTTCTGGGTGATAGACGCAGACGGCTTTCCTGAACCCTCTTAACCTCTGCCTACAACCCGTCACATCTGTCAACAGAAGGCTGATGTGCTTTGACCACGGGTTGATGTATTGCAGTTACGCATAAGACAATATGTATGCAATTTCCTACATTTGCATTGGGCTTTTTGAATAACATGGTGTGAGAACATTTTGGTGACCCCAGTGGCAAATTAGCGAATTTATCATATTTCAATTGAACACTTTTCACTGCATTCATCAAATGCAACCAAAATGCAGTGTTCAACACTTTTGCCAGTTTTAAAAATTAAATTTGTGCAATTTTCTAGTAAAGGAACCAGTGGACAAGAAGTGGTCCATATAAACCTTGGTAGAAAAGGTAATTTAAATTTTTTGCAGAAATGTAAGTCTCTGTAATCTTTCATTAAGAAAATATTTAATTAAGTAGGGTCAATTTAAGAATTGAAATGACCAGCATAAGGTTATATTAATTTACTAATATACTGTATATATATGATTCTGAAATGACAAAAATCTGAAAAATGTAAATATATATATATATATATGAATGATTTAAAAGCATTAGTATTAAATTAATATTATATAATATCATATTCTAAAACTACTTTATTTGCACTGTTTATTTATCAGTTTTAATGAAAAAAATAATGTCTGAAACCTTTGAACCCCACTGCATCAGAATAATATTTTTTTGTAATATATTTTTAAAAATCTATTTCTGTATGTTAGAACAAAACTTCAGGAACAAATGGAGACATTGACGATTTTAGGAATTTTACCAATGCAAAATAGCTGATAGGTTAATTAAAGCAGAAGGAATTTTCTTAGACCTATTTTCCACTTTCTGTTCATCTTAAAGGGGGTTTCAATAAAACTTGGCTGATTATGCAAAAATTGAAATGGGTGCTACCTGACTAGAGAAAACAGAGGAAAGAGGCTGTTGTCTTCCCTTTTCCCCAAAATAGGTTGAAAAACACCCATAATGCACTGGGCATGTTGCCGTCCAAGGCCACTACCACCAGTTTGCTATAGAGACGCTTACCAGTCAAATCCTGCCTTGCTTTAGTAGGAAGTACTTCTTAGCAAACTTTTAGTATAATAGTGTCAACTTTGTTCCCGGAGTAAATGTGAGTGATTTAGAGTGAAATGCCTTCGGTTTCCAGTAAAGCATCCAGCACGTTGTAGGTTGTGGCTAAAAGCTGCAAAGCTGCGACGGAAATTCTGAAAAACCTCTTTGTTCGTAGTGAACATTTCCAACGGGATGACAACGAACACTGTGTTTTATGCCAAACGGAGGGGAAAAACTGAAAGAAACTGCCGTTCTGTGTGTTCCATTTTTACCATAATGCTTTTAAAAGAGTAGACAAAGTGATAAACCTATTCCTATATTAACTGTTGTTAATAACCCTGTCAACCCCGACTGTCTGTGGGCGGGGATACAAAAAAGGAAGTACAATCTATAGTTTTCCCGAAGCCCTGGAGCTGTCAAAAGTATGTCATCCAGCTGACTTTTGCTGACATATAAACGTGCATTTCTCCAGGAAACAAACAATGAATAAATGTTGTTAATGTACATGTACTACCGACATTGTATACACTTTAACTCTTACTCCTACTTAGAGAAATTACAGAACGCTTTTGGGTATAGTAGGCATGTTACACATTTCCCAGACTCCCTTTCAATGTCTAGTCTTCCTTCCACAAAGTATCGTAGGATCCACAAATCATTTCCACATGACAGAGACGGAGAACATATTCTAATTTACACATCTGTGACTGATTCCAGGTCCTGGGCAATTTGCCCTCTTCATGGTTTTCATTCTTTACCCAGAGTGTTTGAATGCACTATAGACTCTACTATGACCAGCATAATGCTTTTGCTCTAAAGCGCAAACAGATGAAAAAAAAAAAAACTTTTAAAGTACAGACTGACGATGATGTCCAAATGCATTAAAAAGATGTATATACCGTATCTTAAGCCCGTAATGGAAGCCTGTGTGTCAGGAAGTCAGAGCAACCACCCAGGTAAGACTGGGTGAAGCCGTTTACAATGACATAACGAGCTGTCTTGTGGGTTTTCTATAAAGCTTTATTACGTGCGGACAGGACAAATGTGTGGAGCCAGAATACACATCAGGGTGGGATCTATACGTCCTAGCCAAAACCAACAAGAGCTGTGCAAGATGCTGAAATGGTTTTCTAGTCACTGTTAGAGTACCTGCTTTCCACTTGATTTATTCACTTATTCAGACCTGTTGCTACAGAGCATGAGAAATTATTATTACATTAGGAAGTACCTGTGCTATAGTTTAATCTCTGTAGCATCACTCTGGGGTCTCTTTCTTCTAATATAGTAAAATAATTTCAACTGAAATTAACATCTTATGTCCAATCTTTTTTTTTTTTAAGTAGACGTAATAAGTAGGATAATGCAGGCGGTTTTAAACTTTTTGATATCATTTGCTGTACAATAATATAAAGCCTATAGCTTGTGTTGGAGTAAAATCTTGAATCATTTCCCACTCACTCTTCGTGTCGGCGCACACCACAAGAGTTAAACAATAAACCAGAATAATAGATCATTTGCTCATCTACAGTTGGACAACTTTTGAGGACAAGATGAAAGATTTAATTTATGGCACGTCTGTCATTCTATTCCACACTATCAAAGGAGGCTGTGAGATGTTATGTTTTTCTTAAACCCGTCTTTTTGATGTGTAATTAGCATTAGTGCTGGCAATTACACGAAAACCTCAAATCACATCAAGAACATCTTGCCCTTGGCAGTAGAAGCAGCTGTACACTGGCAGTGAATCAAGCCCTCTCAATTCACTCCTCTACTTCCGTTACACCAATCTCCAGATGCACAAATCAGGGGAACCCCAAACAGAGGTGTGCTGAATCAATGGCTAGGATGGTAAAAGTCAGACCAGATAAATATGTGAAGCCTTTTGTACCATGACGTGTAACAGGATGGAGTTGCTGCTCACTGGTGAGGCATTGCTTAACCAAAAATGGCTAAAGATGCTCACCCTGCGAAACTAACATGGGCTTCAGTTTAGAGTGGAAGACTAGTATCTATAAATAACTAGTGTATATCACTTCCAGCACAAAGACATGCTTGTCTTTTATTGCTTTTTGAGAGGGTTTGTGTACAGTGGTTTATGTTTTGTGCGTTAGCAAGCATAACTAAAAAAGAATATGACACTCTGTTGCAGCTTGTTAACAGTCTCATAATGCTAGGAATGTAAGCTTTTATTCCCCAAATAATATATCAAGCAAACTCCTGGAGCAATCGAGACACTTACATCTTTTATATATATGAGTTTGATTTGCTGCAGTAATGCATGATTGCTAATACCATAACAGAGAAAGTTGAGAAATACATGCCTGCATC